TATGAGAAGAGGTGACCATCAGCGACCAGCAGTACAGCTTCATGCTGAGAAAGAGCACAACAGATGTGCCGCTTTCTTTGAGAGTGTTGATGGAGAAGGTCAGAAGGCGCTTCACTGTGTCTTTGAGGATCTACAGAAAGCATATAGGATGCCAAGAGAGGATCTGTGGTACAGCATGAAGAAGTCAGGACTGGCAGAGAAGTATGCGCGGGTGGTGCAGGACATGTAGCAGGTGGAAAAGAGCCTGGAGAGAAGAGGAATGAACCTTGGTAGAAGCAAGACGGAATACATGTTCGTGAATGAGAGGGAGACAAGTGTAACAGTGAAGGAGCAGGAAACAGAGGTAGTGAAGGCAGTGGAGTGTAAATACCGATGCACAAAGGAGGTGAAGAAGAGCATGCAGGCAGATGGAGATGAGTGTGGGGGGTAATTTGTGATAGAAGGATGGGAGCGAGAGTGAAAGGGAAGGTTTACAAGTATGGATTGAAGAGGGTGGCACTGATGAAAAGACAAGCGGTCGAGCTGAAAATTTTCAGGTTTTAACTGGGAGTGAGCAGGACGGACAGAATTAGAAATGAGTACATTAGCAGGACAGCTCGGGCTCAGGAAGACAAAGTTAGAGAGATAAGGCTGAGATGATTTGAGGAAGAGGAATAGTGGATATATTCATGGATGTGAAGGAGGGTTGATGTGACGTAGAGTGATGCTGGGGACAGAGCTGGAGGACGATCATTTGCTATGGTGGTCCCTACGGGGGGCATTCGAAAGAAGAAGAAGAAGATGTAGAAAGTGTGATGTGGTTGGTCTTTATCTGACGTGTCAAAGGTGCAGCAGTGGCTCAGAAACTCAGTAATAAAGTAAAACATCAACACTGGAGGCAAAGCTTCCTTTCAAGAATGTTTAAGTAACCAAAAATATATTCATGTACACACAGCATAAAGTCACACACATATACATAAAAATAAAAAGATAAAAAATATTTAAGCAGTGACAGAAATAAAAACTGTCAAACAAGCTATCCAAACACGTTTAAATCATTAGGAGAATTTGTAAGCCCCCGCTCGAAATCTCTCTGTAATTAAATGTTATTAAGCAGTCTCTTTCTAATTGTGCTGCATTGTATTCATGAGGAAATATGCTTGACTATTTAAAGATGTCGGTAAACACCATTTAGGCGTGGTGTGTGGTCTTCAGTTTAGTGGCCTGATTTCTTCTGTGAGCGTAAAGGATACTGAAAGAAATCTGCAATATTATCCACATTTTAATAAAGATTTATCAAAGCAGGTTTGAGATGTTGCACTTGTCCCTGAAGTTACATCAAAATAAAACACGTTCAGATAAAAAAAACTTGTGTTAAAATAAGAACACTGAGGGGGAAAAGCCCCTGATCTTTAAAGCTTCGAAATGTGCTTAAATCTAACAAGCTGTGTCCTGAATCAAGATGTTCTCAGTATTAGTCAACCACTCTGTGCTTCAAATCCACGCCGTGCTTTCGAGCTCAGCGTTTGTAGAGCGCCGTTCTAGAGAAAAAGGGAGCAGAGAGGGTAGGAAGTCACTTCCCGCCGGCCTGTCTGTGGTCTGTGTTTGTCAGTTGATTTGAAGCTGCTCCACCAACATGCTGTGACAGGAAAGGAATTAACTCAGAGAGGAGACAAAATTTAAAATAACACCTCAAAGGCAGAAGATGTTAAAAACTATTAAATGTGTGATGCATGTTCAAAGCCACAGACTGAACTTTGACATGTTACAAGAAATGCAACATTTAGCGTGTTCTTTAAAGCTTTTGTTTGAGTTTAATCAGCATGTTAAAGAGAGACAGAAAAGAGCTTTCAAGTAGATCTGTGCAGTTCCCATGTTTTAGTCTGAGCCAAACCAGCTTTAGCAGGGTGACCTGATCCCGCCTGGCCAAACGTGAAGCAACGAGCAAGTGGGTCTGAAACAATGTGCGACGCAATAAAGACAGAGAGTCCTTATAAAGAAAAACTTCCACTAACAAACGGGAAATGAAGTGATTTTTAGTATTAAAAGGCACATTTTCTCATACATTCATACAGAGTCTGTTTTTATGTATTTCTGCTTCACATCCACACACAGTTAAGCAGTTAAACCTGAGTACCTGCAGACAACATGCAAACTCCATTTCATGTTCTGCATGACTATAAAGTGTGTAAGTGTGTATCATGTGTATCGCTCGCGGTTTAGATTCAGCGTTTTTCTTTAACATTTGGTTTCATTTGTATACATCAGAACTGCGTGGTTAGGTTTAGCTTTAATTATTCTTAAAGTATGATGCGTCAGGAGTGACAGCGGCCTCGCTTTTCTTGATGATTGTGTGTGTCACCGTGACGTAGGTGTCAGTATTTGACGCCCTGGGAATTATTAAGCAAATCTTACTCATTTTTCCTGCCTTGACCGTCGTGCGTCTCTTTATCAGTCAGAGCTCACTTCACCTACTCCGGGTGAGTCTGCTGCCCAGAATTTAAAATGTATAGAAAAATATGACCATACAACTCCAGTATGTTCACATTTACACTGAATGTCTGTTAAATCCTGTACAGATTATAAACTCTTACAAACCACTTTTAAAGCGTTACTTGGCCTCAGTCAGTGGAGGCATGTTTGGGTCTATGATGACCAGTCTTTGCTTTTGTTTCCCCAACTGTGAATCATAACATTAGATGAAATTTATTGTCTTTAAAATCTCTTTTTATTCTTTTATTGCCTTAATTTTTACTTGTAGCAGGTTTTTGTTTATGTTTGACTTCTTTATTCCTCATTATTTGTTTATTCACTTTATCATTTCTGCTTTTCTATAATTTAGTTTTTTTTATTTTGATGTTGTAATATATCTTCTTTTTTGTAAAAGAACATTTTAACAGTGTTTAGAAACTGCTATCAGTTTATTGCTGTTATCAATGTTTTTTTAATTACAAAACTCATCACATATTCTTCCAGTTGTAATTTTTTTGTCCAGTTGAACTGACAGAGAAAAACTAAAATACTGATTTGTTACATGTAATAATTATAACCACATTTATTATTCTTAATTAACTGTATCATTTTTTAACTGTTGTTATCATAATATATTTATAATTTTTTGATATTTTGATATAAACACATAAATAAAAACAATGGAGGTTTTTAGGTTTGGACCTCAGGAGGACAGATCTATTTATTTGAATTAATTTCTGTAAAAAATAAAGACAACAAAGACAGATTTCATGCTTTAATGTTTTTTGAAAACTACGACAAGTCAGTCTATAAGGAAGATTTTAAAATAAAGGTGTTTTTCTGGCACTAACAGGGCATTTGGGGAAGGGGATGGTTACATAAACCATTCCCTTAGAGTCTGTCTAAGCTGACTTTACAGAAATGTGTTTAGTTTATTTCTTATTTCAACCACAAAAAAAATCTATGCTTTAATTTTTAAAAATAATTTATTAAAATGCATGTGATTGTCCTTGGAGAGAAAATCAAAAGCAAAGACTCAAAATATTTTGGATGCAGGAGAAAAAGTCTGTGTGTGATCGCCCTACGTGTCACAAGTATCTGCAGTCACAGGATTCGTGAGCTCATCTGTCTGACTGAAAGGCTGCAGTCCGACAGTAAACCCAGTTCTGTTTTAAACAGATTGTGACTTCAGACATCAAAGCAATTAAGGTAAACTGTGGTACATGTGTTTGATATTTGTGTCAAGTAACAAACTGTCAGCAGATTTTGAATGCTTTTGCAGATTATTATCAAAGAAGAACAAAGCTTCTGCAGGAGGGCAATGAAAGACCTGGTAGAAGATATAAAGTGGACCTGGAGCTAAGCTTATTAGTCCATATATACATTTCTATATGTTTCTCTGTGTAATTTCTTACAACATATCAATGTTAAGAAGGAAATGCACATAACATTTTAGTACAGACGCAGACATACATAAATCTACTTTATTTACAAGCATCTTTTTTTGTATGTAAATAAATTAGATCACTACAATTATTTTTTCAAGGCTTAACAACTGAGTATATGTAGCATTAACTAAGAATCGATTTATTTAGTTAGTTCTGTTTTTCTATACGTGCATACTAATGAAACAAACCTAAACAAATTAAAAACTGTTCTTAAAGAGTAAATGTTTTCAGTGTGGAGATTGTTTCACAGTCTTTACTGGTTTTTTAAAGATATTATTTTTGGTGGCAGATACTTTTGCATTGTTCATATTATGGAAATGCAGCTGTTAGAGAAACAAATCTGTCGGTGAGTAAGAAGTCGAAATGTAAGAATATAGTTTTGTCTTTTAACATTAAACACTGGGGTAGCAACACAAAGTGAAAACAGCTGATCACAAGCATAACATTTCTGCAAACTCCATTAAGGTCAATGCAAAAAAGAGCACAAAAGCAGTATATATTATAGTAGTATATATCATCAGCGCATCATTGGTAATACATGATCGTGTATAGCTGATTCATCAGGGGCCAGTTAATGTTTCTATGTGTCTGACTCTTGGTGGTCTGACTGATCTGTATGATCTGTAGCTGCATAATCCCACTGAAGTAATCAGAGAATAAAAACTGCAGTATTTCCTCTTAACTGTTTTGGAGGATGTATTAATACGCTGATGAGTAAATTGACTTGTATCCCACCACTGCAGCTCTGACAGGCTGTTCCACTGATCCCCTGTTTTCCTAAAGCGAGTCGTTTCCTCACCTCCAGCCGCCGAGAGCACATCTTCAAAGGGAGGGGTGGGGGGGCAGAGACGGAGCACCGGCAGGAGGGGGCGGAGCCTGGAGGGGCTCAAGACGCGCAGCCTATCATAGACTGTGTCACAACTGAGAATGCTGCTTACCTGTGCGCCAAAACTCTGACAGCCTTTCGCCTCACCTGGACCGTCTGCGATGGAGAAAAGCAGATGAAATATGATGAGGATTTTACTTTTCTGCGCGCATTTTTCCAACAAGGACAAGAGCAGCGGAGCAAAGCCGAGACAGAGTTTACTTCCAAAAGAAAAGCACAGCGGCAGCACCTCTGTAGGGCAGACAGGTAAGGCTGTATTTTAACTTTCTGACATCTGCTGCGACCTCCTGTGTGGTACCGTATGTCTGTTATATACAAAAATCACAATGAAGTGTTTTAAGTCTTCATCAGGCTGATGGAAAGTCTTCCAGGCTTCAAGTTAACTGGAGGGTTTTATTTATAAATTGAAAGTCTCAAAATACAACATGTTAGGTAGCGTACGCAGGTTACTTACTGGATAAATTCACGTTATAGAGGCTAACCAGCGGCTGGCACTTAATTTTAGGTTATGTATTTAGATTTTGGACAATAAACACCAGTGTTAGAAAATAGA